GCCAGGAAGTCTGCTCGAGGCTTGCTAACAAATTATTCCATTTGGCAAAGTTATTATATGGGTAGTCACCTTTTCTCAAGAATTTTTAGCAGATAGATTTAGTGTCAAAACAATATAATAGACTGTGYTGGCTTCTCCAGTCTGTCATGTTTGTTGCCTCCCTTTTTTATGCACGTTTTCTGCTCACTGCATTGAAGGACCCCATTGATCTCTTTGCAGCTGAACTGATTACTGGGGTAAGATGGAGTCTTCTTGAAACAAACCAAAACAAATTATTCATTTAAAATATTATTATTTTAGTAAACGTCTATTTAACCTCTGGGGTTAATTAAAAATATGTATTCCTGATGGGCTGACGTAAACTTATTAAATGAGAAGAAAACTGAGTTCAGGCTAGTACATTTAATGTCAGCTTTTGCAATATTCTTGGGGGAAAATACCTGCAGACTTAATAATAATGTAGAATTTTAAAACAGCAGCAATAACAGCAAAGCAAACCAACTGGGGAAATAGCCCCCCAAGCCGAGGACGTGTTCTGCCACTTTGGCTCGTGTGGAAATGCTTCAGTTAGGCTACCTGGGCCTTCCTGGCCTGTGGTTGCTGGTTGAAAACCTCTAATTAGGCTGCAAACCCAATGCTAAGGCACTAGGTAGGAGCTCGTGGGAGTGCGGGCTGGCGCCGGCAAGGTCCGTGCTCGGCAGGACGACGCCGGCATCCCGGCTGCCGCGCGTGGAGAGCAAGGATGAACCGGGCCCAACAGCTGCGGGGATTTGCGGAGGCACCYGTGGCATTTGACACGTCCCCACGGATGGTTCCTGGTGGTTTTCCAGGCTCGCTTGTGGACTCCTGTGTCCYGCTTCTCTGCACGGCCGCAGGGAGCGTTCGGAGGTGCCGCGGCTCCCGTTTTGTTCCTCTGCGGGAGAAAATCTGGCTTCTCACCCAGCGCTGCAGCTCCACTGCAGCAGCCATTGAGGAGCCCTTGTGCTGCTCGCGTGCAGTAAAATGTCATTTTTCAAGCACCTTCTGAACCATCAAAGCTGCGAGAAGGAAGCCTGCGCTTAAATGACCCAAATGAAACAGCAGCCGCCGCCTTCCTGTCCTCAGCGGCGCTCCCTTGCATCACTGTGAGTGCAGCCCCAGCCCTTAGCTCACGCGCCTCGGCTGCCAAGGCTTAAGGTCAGTGCCTGGAAAAAGCTGCAGAAAGTGGCCGCACATGAGGTGGGACCCTGCAGAAAGAGCCTCTGTGGGGAGCTGGTGCCCTCTGCTCTTCTCTGTTGAAGCCAGCGGGACGTAGCCCTGGAAAAACTGTCTGTGCTGCCCAAGTCTTGCCAACCACAGCTACGACATGCAGGGGGTTGGTTCCTTTTTTCTTTTTAATCATTCAAGTTTGTCCTTTGAAAGGGAAACTTGGTTTGTCCTTTTCAATAGCAGGGCCCATCATTCTCCCAGCTGGTCTGTGCTGTGGGTTTTCTCCTTCCCTGTCCTTGGAGTTGGAGCTGGAGCAGCTCCTCCCGCGGAGGGCAGATGTGGGAGGGCAGGGAGCGGGTGTTCCTTGTCTGCAAGGAGCACCCGCTCCCATCCAGGGTGTCTCAAATGCTATCAAACGCCGCAGCAGCCGCCAGCATCTGCATCGGGGTCAGCWGCCTTGGCCGCTGGACACAGACTTGGCTCCAGTTGGGATTTTAATGAGGAGAGCGCAGAAAAGTTGCTGGTGACGGTAGGAAAAAAAGCAAGCGAGCGGGGCATAAATCAGGTCATCGGATGGATTCAGGAGGCACTAATAAAATCAGAGCTTCCAATAAATTTCATTTTGGGCAGAGTAGAAACGTCTCCTCAGTGGAGAGTTCAGGACAGATTATAATTTCAGATGTGTGGAAGGCCAGCGCAACGTGTCCACAGAAATGTTTGCAGGCGGCGGTGGCTGCTCTGGCCAGTCAGCCCCCACACCAGGCATTTTTTAGCATGTTTCAACAGAAATACAAAACAACTCTAGTTCACTAAGCAAAGCTGAATCTAATTAAATATTTATTTTATTTTATTCCCCCCCCCCAAACCCTTTGGTTTCTTGCTCTTTCATACTGTGCAAAGGTGACATTTGAACAACAAATGCGGTGTTGGTAGGTGGGTCTCTTGGTGCTGCTTTTTATATCAACAGCTCCCACATCCTGCCTCAAGTCCAGATGCTGCTTTTATGAGGCTTTTTTTTCCTCCTGATCAATTTTTAAAAAACATTTTTCCATCCCATGAAATTAATAGCTACCTGGGGAAATACCAACCAGCTCTTCCCCATTCCTGCAAGTAGTAACCTTTTCCCAGAAGGAAAAGGATTTCTCTTTCACTTTTATTTACCTGCAGGATGCCCTTGCCAGTGCTCATAACCACAGAGGGAGGAGGAAAAAAAAAAAAAAAAACCTTCATAAATGGAAAAATTTACAAACATAACAGCTCTCTAAATAGGAACACTGTCTTCCGAGTGCTTATTACACTGAGCAAGCCCTGCATAATCTTCCTGGGGTCACCGAGTGAGTCATTAGCAAGGTGGCACGAGCTCAGAGGCATCCTGATGTTTCTAACTACTCTGATTGCTTTAGGACCCCAATTTGAAAGGCCACAAGTTTGTGCTGGCTGCACAGTCACGGCGATAACTTCTCTCAGCTTTACAAATTGCTTTTCTTGCAATCATCTCACCACGATGTGCCTGCAGGGTTGTGGGGTTTTTCTCCTTCCTTCCTTCCTTCCTTCCTTCCTTCCTTCCTTCCTTCCTTCCTTCCTTCCTTCCTTCCTTCCTTCCTTCCTTCCTTCCTTCCTTCCTTCC